CATAAGAGAAGACAAAGACACGCAGGTCCTTCACCTACATCCTTAGTTCCTTGAAGGGTTTTGCTTGTTCTCCAATGCTTGGGTACAGTTTTTTTTTTTTTTTTAATTTTGAAAAATTACAAATATACACAAACTCAGGGTAACTGTGAAGCCCCACATCCCCATTGCCCAGCTCCTACTACTATCTTGATGTTGCCAACACTTGTTTCATCTAGTCTGTCTTTTCCCTAGTTTATCTGGAGTATTTTAAAGCAAATCTTTCACATCGTTCTACTTGACCCCTCATTCTTCAATAGGCATCCCTAAAAATATCATTGCCAGTTTTTAACTCTACTTCTTTTTCATTGTTCTTCTCAAATAAAGCCTGTGAAAGAGAGAGATTTATTGAATTGCCTGTAGTTACTCAATTCAGTATTTTACAATGAAGGAATAATCTTTTATTTTATTTTTATTTTATTTTACTTGCTATAACAGCGCTGTTTTATTAACTCCTCATATAAGAAGTGTATTAACTTACTGTAGACAACTCATTTAGCTTTCACATTTGTTTTTTCCCTTCAATGTGTTGTAACAAAATTAATTCTGTGCTTAATTTACAAAGATGAATGAAGAATCAATGAGATACTGCCTTTTTGCCATAAGTTTGTAGTCAGGTATTCCTGTAGATAAGAAGACAGACATTTTCTTGGCAAAGATGTTCTGCTCTTGTCCAGAGGTCTTTTTCCTTTCTATAATTAGTACATTTCTCCGAATAATAGTTTTACATATCGACCAAAAAACTTCCATCAGAATCTATTTTGTCAATACTTACACTTTTTTGTGGAATCTTGTCACAAATGAGTAATGTTTCATATGCTACAGAATTCTCCATCAATTATTTATACCAAAGTTTAGGTAGTTCCTTGATTTATAGTTTGAGTTTTTGAAATTAATATTATATATACAGATGATAAATAACTTCTCCTTAGATCGGAAAATAAGCAGCATGGGGTAGACTTCCCTGTGTCATGACTAATGCCTCCCTCTTTATTCTGAGAGCCTATGTACATGTTTGATACTCCCTAGTCTACATTACGGGAATGCCCACAAAGATCAGTAAGTTGTTATTCAGCTAGAATGACTCATCTATTGGAAAGATGATCAGTCAGCCAAAACCAGAAGGGTGGAATGACTTTCAAAGATCCTCTTTAACTCTCAGTGAAGGGTGTACGTGTGTGTTTGTGTATAAATCTAAACATGGCTCGAAATAGACATCTGAAAAGATTTGTAGATCTTTCTGAAAGGGAATAGGAAGACCTTAGTTCAACTTCCAAGCAATATGATTTAGGATCCTGTTGACATAGTGCACTGCCTGCATAGCAGGATTTCTTTATAAATTCCAGCAGTAGATTAATAATGAGGCTCTTGAGTGTATATGAATTACTTGTCAACCTCAGTCTTATCGTTAGTCCATTACATCTTTATATGTTATTTTACATCATTTGAGATATTAAGTTTGTGCTCCCAGATTTTATGGAACTACTCTCTTCATGGGCACTTAATGCAGATTCCATGGTGTTTACAGCTATATAATGAATGTTTATGGTATTATGTCAGTATGATAGGGTCTCTTTTTAATCTAAAATTCTGTTATTTGGTTGATTTGAATTTTACTATCTGGCTCTTTCTTTGGTCTTGGTGCCAAAAATGCATTTATTGTGACATGGTACTCTTCTTAGTCTTCCATTAAAATTCAAGCACCACTAGGAGAAAATATGCACTGAACCTTTATCATCTATAACACCTCAGAAAAAATTACTTTTAGGTCAGCAGGTTGTCATCTTAGAAAATAGATGGCACTTGTGGCAACTGGATGAGAAAATAGGGAAGTATTGACCCCAGAAGGGAAAGGAGTCAGTCTATGAAGGACTTTCAAACTCAAATGCCTCCAGGGGCCACTTGGTAACATAAGTGTATGAAGTGGTGAGCTGAAGAAAGTAAGTTTAAGCTGCTTGTACCCTGAAGAGCAAAGTACGTGTCCAAAATGATGGATTTTAACTTCTTGTCATTGTTGTGGTTTTACAACACAGCACTGCAGTGTTCAAACAGAGTGGCCAAACGAAAACATCAGAGATCATCATTTTGGGACCTCAGTTATATCACAAGCGTGCTGTAGGTGGTAGGCTCTTTCCGATGGATCCCATATAAAGGAATACTGTTAGGGACAGATGAGAACACTGGAAATTTGGGAGCAGAAAAGTGCTGAAAAGGGAGATGAGGAGCCGTAAAGATTAAGAGTACTTTCTTTACATTCCTTAGACCAGGTCCTGACTTGACTAATGGCAAAGTTGGATGCTTGTGCTACCCTTCATGGCTGATAAACAGAGATGTGCATCAGAATCACCTGTATAGCTTTGCCAAACTACGGATTGCATCTGAAATTATCCATGCCTCCCTCCAAAATAAGATTTCGATACACCAAGTGTGGTTTGGAGCATGGTTGGCTATATTTTGGAAAAACTCTTGGTTTGATTCAGGTGCACACTCGTAGTTGAGGACCCATGTTCTTGGATGTAGAGGTTCCCAGGTTACAGTCTGAAATATAGGAGTAAGTATCTCTACTCTCATATGAGTCACTTAAGACGTTGTTGCCTCGGGCTGAGGGTGGGGGCCAACTTTGGAGGAAAATGGGGAGTTAGTTCCTTTTTGGGGTTGTGAAAACGTTCTAAAATAGATGATGGTGATGGTTCTATAGTGCTGTAAATACACTAAGAACCATCGAATTGTACCATTTAAGCAGATGAATTGAATGGTATTGTGAATTATATTTCAATAAAGCTGGTCTTAAAAAGCAAGAAAGTAAAGTAAAATGTATATAGTTTAAAAAAAGAAGGACTGCAATAGGGCAAATATGATCAGTTTGTTGTAAAGAACTTTAGATTAGAAATAAGAATTTCCTAATGGAAAAAGTTGTTGAACATTTAAAATTACCACAGAAGTTTTCAGAGTTTCCTTCATTGCAGAATCAAAAATCTGAGTTAAAGGAAGAAACTCTCTGTTGGAATAGTTTAAGCATGGTACCATACTAGAGATGGCGTGCCAAACTCTTTCAGTATTGTACAGGGGTCTGATGCACTTCACTTTTGCCATCTTATATTCCTGCTGTGGGTGAGATGAGATGCAGTGCAGTTAAGGGGGGGGGCAGTTTTTTTCCTCATCTGTTTGTGGATATTTTTCCAGTATCGTCTAAGGAGCAGCTCATTGTCATTATCATCACATAGTATAGCAAATAAATAAATAAATAAATAAATAAAAGAAATGCTAGCAGTGATATTTATTCAAATAAATATCAGATTTATTCAGTCAGTCCAGTGAAACTGGGTGGTTTCTGGAGTGCCAGGCTGGTCATCAGAGCCAGGGGAGTATTATTATTTAATGGTATCTTTTCTTCTGCACTTGATGAGCTGTCCTAGAAAAACATTTTGAAGTGATAAAGCATCCATTTGGCTCCTAAGTAATGAGGGAGGCAGTGCTCTTTCATTAACTATTTATTCAGGAAGAGAAGTGACCAACTGCTAATAAGCTTTATCCAAAGAGGGTGGTGGAAAACAGAAAAAAATGCAGAAGTGAGGTTCTGTTCAATTTCATATGCAATTAACAAATGCCCAAAGCTGAGCGGTTGGTGCTCCTCCTCCATGTGACTTCTGGCTGGCTGTATTTAAGTGTGACTGCCTGTCGGATGCCTGAAAGGACCCTGGGTTTAAGGAAGGATTGTGCGGTCTAAACTAAAGACAAAAGGAGGCAATGAGCGGTGAGTAGCTAAGATTGGGCTGATCTCTGTAGTTTTGAATAATGGGGTTATTTCCTAAGATGGACAGTAGTGATTGAGGCTTGCAGGTTAACTCATTAGGGGAAGGGTTTCTTTTGTTTTTAGATGATTATTGCTTTTTCATGACTTCAGAAATCTGCTCCATAATGCAATATGTAGATTATCACTTGATCAAACGGCTTCTAACTTGGGAAAATTTCTTATTGGCTATGTAAGTAAGTATATGACTTATTATTTAGAGGTAGTTTTGAGGTATGTGTGTAAAGTTCATTTTTCTTACACAAGTAAATAAAAGGCCCCTTCTTTGCAGTTCAAGATTACAATGAGAATGCTGTATTCACACATAAATGGGGGCTTCTTTCAAGTCATTTCAGAATCTCACTTTGAAGTACTTTTGGTGCTGTAACAGCACAGTCTTCATTTCACTTGCCATAAGTCTCTTAATACAATTAATTTGCATTCTTTAGTGACATGATGAAAAGATAAAAGTCACAATTATTTTCTTCCCTTAAAGCCAACTGAAGGACTTTTATGTTAATTCTTCTGCCCTGCTCTCACTAAAAAGTAGTAGTAGTCTTGGCACTCCAGAAACCTCCCAGTTTCACTGGACTGACTGAATAAATCTGATTCTCATTCTATACAATGAGAAAAATATCCTTCATATTTAAATCATATTAAAATAGACAATGGAAAGGTTATGTAAATTCAACATTATTTAATAACAGAATATTTGTGATATTATCATGAACGGATTATGAGTCATTCCATATTGCATTCCTTTGGTTTTCAATTTTTAAAATTTCCATATTGAAAACTGTGCATGAATTCTAAGCTTACTGTGAATTATTCTGAAGTATATTTAAAATCAATTTTCAAGATACATTCCATGAAATAGGAGTACATTGTTTATTTGGGTTCATAGCCTTTGGTACTGGGCTAAAAAAAGCCTAAGTAAGGAGCAATGAGATTAAAGACAAGAAACGCCTCCTTAGAATTTTTCTTTACTAGACCCCCTTATATCATACTCAGAGAACTAAGCTCATTTACATTACAGAGACTCTTACTGTCTTCATCAAGGAAATAAGGACTCCGAGATTAGAAATGGAATTTCCTTTTACGATTGATTGCTGGGTTTGGCAATAATCTGTCTTGTTGGTTATTAACAATCATTAGATTGAATTATCCCTTTCAGATAATCACTCCATTCAGAAGACTAATGCTGTGCGCTGAGAACAGGAAGGAGATGGAGGATTGGATGAGCTCACTGAAGTCTGTACAGACCAGAGAACCTTACGAGGTAAAGTAGCATCTTCTTCCGGCGCCTCCTGTTCCTAGAGAAGGAATGTCATCCGAAGAGCTAAAGCTCTATTCTGCAAAGAAAAGTATGTGTAGATTCATTAAGCAACTTGCTTCCATCTGATATTGACTTTTTTTTTTTTTTTTACATAACGTGTTTTCATTTTAAAAATTACGGATTTGAAATTTTAATCCTAACTAAATGCATCCCAGAGGTTCACCGTCTGTTGTCTTGTTCTCTTGCTTGGCAAATCTGTGCTAACGTCTCGTTTCTAGGTGGCCCAGTTTAACGTGGAACATTTCTCAGGGATGCATAACTGGTACGCCTGCTCCCATGCACGACCCACTTTCTGTAACGTGTGCAGAGAGAGTCTTTCTGGAGTCACCTCCCATGGCCTGTCCTGTGAAGGTAAGTACCCATGGCCCGCATTCTCCCTCAGCACTGACCACACTGGGAACACGCTGCCATCCGAACAGGGAAACATCAGCACGGGTGGAAGCAGGAGGTGGGAGCACCTCAGTGGGAACATAGCGTTTCTGTTTTACCGTAGCTTCGAGTGGAGGTCTGCACACATGGGACTAACTTGGGAAATATTTTTGCTGAGGGAAGGATGATACAAATCATTGGGAAGAAAGTATAAATCAAGACGTAGCATTTCACTCTTGAGGAACTAGCACCTACTGCTTAAAAAACATCTTTAAACTTTATCAGTCTTTCTGGTTTTCTAGTCTTCTTTTTCTGTTCTGACTGATTAAAACTTTCAGTGAGGACAGTACAGGCTCTTTGACAGAATTTCCGTTTGTTATTTCTATTTCATTATTTTAAATGTTTTCTTTTACTTCACTTTATGTTTAATTTAAATGGATACCATCCTTTTTAATTCTTTATAAAGTTGTCTAAAAATAAGCCCAAGGCTGTTGTTTTCATTATAGGATTTGTGGGTTTTTTTTTTTAAATAAAAAAGCAGTGACCAGTAGAAGCAAATATACTAGTAATTACCAAAGGGAAACTCATAACGTCTTCAGATTTATTTAATTCCATACCTCCACGACCACACTACTGAACTAGAGCTCATACCAATACTAGCTTTTTTCTCTTGATACAAAAGAATCTTAATTTTGAATATAACTTTATAACACTTCGATAATAAACTAGTAATAGAGCCCCAGTTTTCATTCATTTTAAGGTATCAAATCTGAGATATATCATAATTTCAGTGATTTAGCATGACAGAGCACAGAGATGAAGAACAGAGCTCCTCAGTTTCACCCTCCAGGCTCTGGTCCCACTCCCAGCATTACAAACGGTGACCAGGAGAAGAAGTAGCTCCACTCTTTTTGACTTGTTTCCTCATCGGCAAAATGGGGATAATAGTCATTTATATCTCACAGACACTATGAAAATGAAATGGGAGAATATATACAAGGAAACTACTTTTCTAGGCAAAGAAATTGTGGAAGTTTGTAACTGTGCCCTGTAAGAAATCCATCAAGTAAATAATTGCAGATTGCATCATTGCCTGAGGCATTAAAATTCGTGAAAACGAACATTTGGAAGAGGCATTACACATTTTTTTAATAGATTTTAAGAGTGGTTGCAAACAAGGTGTAATTGCTCTTTATGACTTTAGTAATCTACAGGGGTTCCTGAAGCTCTGAGTTACTCTTGCCAAGTGTGTAATACTCTGAGATGTTATTTTGAAGGTCTTTTTAGCTGCCTCCTAGTCTCTCCTTCCAAAAGTGCTTAAAAAAATATCAGATCTGAGATACTCTGTGGTACTCTTCTGATTTGAGAGTTATGCATTATTAAATATATTTAGTTGTTTGTGTCTTGAATTTAAACTGGGACGACTAAGTATTTTTCCTAACCTTTTAGAAGAAAAATGAAAATCACATTAGCCGATGAGAATAAGAAACTTAAAGTCTTTAAATAACTTTGTTATTATTCTGTTAATAATGAACTCTTCTTGACTTTTAATGTCTCAGTTATTGTATTTTTAAATTAGAGTTTTAGAAGAATATATGCTGTTACTCATTTTCTCTGCTGATAAAAATTTTAAATCTGTGGTGTCTTGCCCATTGGTATTGTTAGGACTGTAGCAGAAGGTTTTAAAAATCCCAAGGGTTTTATGAATGTGTAATGAAGCTACCTTTTTACTTTATGAGAATGTGGTTATTTAGGATCATTTTCTTGTAATCCAAGTTATACTTAAACTTTAGAAACTCCCCCCAAATCTGAATAAACTGCTTGCTTGATAAAAGCAAAAGACATAGGATACAAGAGGCTTTAGAAGATATAACAGAGATGCAAATACAAGAAAAATTCGTTCCAACAGTGACAATGAATAACTTTGTATTGGAATGGAATTCAGTTTCCAATGTGTGAAGCCATCACTAAATTTACTTAATCTTTCTGCCCTTCCAACAAGCCTGTACTGATTTGGCTTCCGGGCTTGTGTTGAGTAACTACTAAAATTGTTATTTTAAAGCCTTGCATGTGTAAAATATATGAATGAAAAATAGGAGATGGAAAATACTTTTCATAAATAATTCCCTAAGAATGTTAATTATAATTTCAGAGCATAATTGTTCTTCACAGTTATTTAAACAGTAACTGAACAAAAAAAGTTAAATGGTGATTTTTTTCTTTTTTAATCAACAGCATCAAATATGTTAACATAGGTACCTATGAATTTTTCTCTTAGCCACTGTTGAATACTTACAAAGATTCAATGTGGTGGACTGAAAATTGCAATTAAAAATAACTTTGTTACATGTCAGTATATTTTTTTTAAGTTCTGGGTTTTAAAATAATGGCTTTAAAGGTCAGGGAAAAGTGCTTTATTTCAGAATAACTTATTTGGAGAAATCTAATTGTCGCCTAACAAAATTAAGGTGCGTATTAATCATTTCCATTCCTTAGTGACTGTAATCACAGTTTGGTTTATTTTATTATTATTGTATGCTACATTAAGCAACTTCGTAATTTTCAAGACTCATTGCATGAAACACTTTATTATTACAAGTATGATTTTTATTTTTAATGAGCTGTTTGATTTTTAATGGCAAAATTTCAAAAAGCCATAAAATCATTCCCTGTTGCTCTCTTTTACTTCCTCCTTTGCCTCTTAAAAAACAGATATTGACTGTTAATTCAAATACTTCCTTGTACTTAAAAAGCAGCCTGGGAATTATGTTGCCGATAAAACTAAAACTAGGACCACACTTTTGAGAAATACCATAAGAGATGAAAAACCTATTGTTACTAATTAACCTCAATTTTAAAATAGTCACTTGTATGGGAGCAAAAGGGAGCAGGTCATGCTAAAATTGTTTTTCGGACTAAGCTTACTTCCTACGGTGCTTGCTCTTTATACATTTGTCTATCAGTAATGAGAGTCCATTGAAAAACCGGTTTATTCTCTATGAAGTCTGTGCTCGAGTCCCAAAGTCATTTATAACAAAAATAGTAGGATTTCCAAAAGAATTTGTCAGTGTACACAAAAGACCAGTTAAATGAAAATTTTCCAATGTCTAGACTAATACTTTTCAAAGAAAAACTACTCAGCTTAAGTGACCTTTTGCATATCGGCTCTCCGTGACATCCTGAAGCATTTTGAATATTTAGCTATAGGCACTCAGTGATTTTACCCGACCCTTTCATTTGCATGCTATGTTAAATTAGGACTTTTTAAAGATTTTATTTATTTATTTAAGAGATAGAGACTTAGCGAGAGCAGGAGTACAAGCAGCGGGAGTGGGAGAGGGAGAAGCAGGCTTCCCGCAGAGCAGGGAGCCGGATGCGGGATTCAGTCCCAGGACCCTGGGATCATGACCTGAGCTGAAGGCAGACGCTTGACGATTGAGCCACCCAAGCACCCCAAATTAGGACTTTTTAAAACAATGGCATGCAACCCATCATTTCAAACCTGTTAACGGTTTACAGTTAGAAATGCAAAAATCATGTGAAAAGGAGTCACCTTACATGTCAGATTTAGGAGCAGTTACCTTCTTATATTTCCACTGAAGTGATCTCTACTTTTAAGTATTTATCTGAAAAGTCAGAAATTGGTTTAACATCTTTATCCACCAATGCTTGGATAATTTGTATCCTTAAAAGGATAAAGAAGTTTAGCAGTAGTCAAGTTCTGATTTTCATAAGTAAGAGTTCGTTTCTCAAAAAATCTGTGGTTTACTTGTTTTTCATATATGAGCTGCTTCTTTCCTGGTTGTTTCCTCTTATTGCTCCCTCTCTCTTGTGTTTTTGATTTGATATTTGTATATATTGTAAAATGATTACCCAAATAGGTCTAGTGAACGTCTGTCATCAATCTGTAGTTACAGATATTTTTCCTTTGATGAGAACTTTTAATATTTACTCTCATAACAACTTTCAAATATTCAGTACAGTGTAATTAACTATACTCACTCACTATGCTGTGCATTACATCCCCATGACTTACTTATTTTATAACCAGAAGTTTGGACCTCTGGACTCCCTTCTCCCATTTGGCCCACCTCCCTCCCCCTGCCTCTGGCAACCACCAATGTGTTCTCTGTTTCTATGAGCTGGGTTTTTTTGTGGGTTTGTTGTTGTTTTTACAGGCCACATATAAGATCAAAAGGTATCTGTCTTTCTCTGACTTATTTCAATTTAACAAAATATCCTCTAGGTCCATTCATGTTGTCTCAAGTGATTCATTTATATGGCTGAATAATAGTCCATTGTGTAGATATACATATGGATACCACATTTTCTTTATCCGTTTACCATTGAGGAACACTTAGATTGTTTCTATATCTTGGATATTACGGATAATGCTATCATGAACATGAGGGTACAAATATCTTTTCAAATTAGTGATTTCATTTTCTTTGGATTAATACCCAGAAGTGGAATTGCTGGCTCATATGATAGTTCTATTTTTAATTTCTTGAGGATACTCGATACCGTTTTCTAGAGTGGCTGCACCAATTTGCATTCTCACCAACAGTGCACACGGGTTCCCTTTTCTTCAAATTCTTGCCAACACTTGTAATTTCTTGTCTTTTAGCTAATAGCCATCCTAACAGGTGTGAGGAGCTATCTCATTGTGGTTTTGATTTGCGTTTCCCTGATGGTTAGTGATATTGAGTATCTTGTCATGTGTCTGTTGGCCATCTGTATGTCTTATTTAGAAAAATGTCTATTCAGGTCCACTGCCCATTTTTTAAGTGGATTGCTTGGTTTTTGCCATTGACTTATATGAGTTCTTTGTAAAACTTGAATGTTAGCCCCTTATCAGATATATGATTTGCAAATATCTTCTCCCATTCAGTTTGTTGATGGCGTCCTTTGCTGTGTCATAACTTTTTAATTCAATGTAGTCCTGTTTGTTTATTTTTGTTTAGTTGCCTTTGCTTTTGGTGTCAGACCCAAAAAAATCATTGCCAAGACTGATGTCAAGGAGCTAGCTGTCAGGGAGTTTTCTTCTACGAGTTTTATGGTTTCAGGTCTTAAATCCATTTTGAGTTAACTCTTATGTATGGTGTAAGGTAGTGGTCCAGTTTTATCTTTTTGCACATAACTGTCCAATTTTCCCAGCACCACCTCCTGAAGAGACTGTTCTTTCTTCATTATATGTTCTTGGCCCCTTTGTCATAAATCAGTTGGCCATATATGTGTGGATTTATTTCTGGGCTCTCTCTTCTGTTCCATTGATCTATGTGTCTGGTTTTTATGCCAGTACCATACTCTTTTGATTACTATAGCTTTGTAATACAGTTTCAAATCAGATACCTTCCACTTTGTTCTTCTTTCTCAAGACTGCCTTGGCTATTCAGAGTCTTTTGTGGTTCCATAAAAATTTTAGAATTATTTGTTTTAGTTTGTTGAAAAATGCCATTGGAATTTTGACAGGGATTGCACTGAATCTGTACATTGTTTTGGGTACTCTGGACATTTTCACAATATTAATTCTTCCAATTCATGAGCATGAGATATTTTTGCCATTTATTTGTGTCTTCAATTTTTTTTCCTTAATGTCTTATAAGTTTCAGTGTCTCTTATGTCTCTTTCAGAGGCTCCTTTTTGATAATGTGGCTGGGCAGGGTTAGTGATGGATGTAATGTACTTCTTCATTATTATTTTCTTCTACATTAAAATGTAGTGATCCCAACAGTAATACTTTTAAAAAACAGTGCCATTTGTGACCTTTATCAACCTATTTCCCACGACTGGATATTTTCTTGACATAGTTGCATTTTAAAACCCTTCCAGATTATCCTGTTCTTTATCTTACTGATATTTTCAAACTTTTTATTTTAAATATATTATATGTACAGAAAAATACAAATATCAGAGGAGTACAACTCGTGGGATTTTTCACAAATTTAACATTTATGTAATCAACACCCAGATTAAGAAATAGGATGTTCCCAGCAGCTCTGTATTACTGAACTTTATTTAGTTCTGTGTTTGTGTGTGTGTGTTTTCTCCTTTCTCCTAAAGAACTAGTTCTTTTGTATTTATTTCCTTTCTGTTTTATTTGTGAGCGAGTGGAATCTAGGTAGCAATCTATAGATTGATAACAGTGTTTCATAAATACATAGCCACATGTAACATAAATACATGAATATCTTCTGAAAAGGTATTTTCAGAATACCTTTATTATTGTTGAAGAGTAATTTAAACTTTTTAAGTTACTGTTTTTCTTCTACCCCCCCCTTGAAATTTCATGCTGTGATTTCCTCTAATCATTGTTCCAAAAGTACATATTCATTTAGAAATGGTTGACTTTTTTTTTTTTTTTTTTTAGTGTGTAAATTCAAGGCTCACAAAAGATGTGCAGTGAGGGCAACAAATAATTGCAAATGGACGACTCTGGCCTCCATCGGGAAGGACATCATAGAGGATGAAGATGGAGTAAGCTCAGTTCTGTCTTTGGTTTCTTCCCAGTACCACCTCCCTTTTATTGCTTGCCCTGTGGAAAAAGACAGAGTTAAGTGGGAGTATTTACTAGTAGGATTAAATGGAAGGCTTTGGTTAATTATGAGTTTCTCTTTCTAGTTAGAGCCTTCATAGTTTCCTTTAGATCTTAAATTTTGAGGGAAATGTGAATAGGGCTTAGCAATGGTTGCTGTGCTGGGCTGGTGTTGGAGACCCTTACCTGACAAGTAAGGTACTCTTTAAGGCTTAGCTCGGGTGTCTGTTCAGATGTTCACTCCTTAGACGTTGGGACCTCCTTTCAACAGTGTCCCCCCACCTTCAAAACCTTGTCTCCATTGCACCTTGCATACGCATCTCTGATAGCACTTTGTAATCACTTTATGTTAATGCCTTTGCCTTCATTGCTCCTCAGTTAGACTACACATCCTGAAGGTCAGGGATTTAGTCTTACTTATTTTTGTATCCCTACGGTGCTCAGAGCACAATAGATGGTCAATAAATGTGGACTAACCAAATGGATGCCATGAGTGCTAGATACATCTCTTGATTCCATAGAGTGAGACCTAATGGTAGCTCTTCCCCAGGGTAAGACTGGCGTCCTCCACTCTTCAATTTGCCTGCTCTTTATTCTGGCTGCGTAGGTAGCTATGCCCCATCAATGGCTCGAGGGTAACCTGCCTGTCAGTGCCAAATGCGCCGTGTGTGACAGAACATGTGGGAGTGTCCTGCGCCTACAAGATTGGAAATGCCTTTGGTGTAAAACAATGGTGAGAGCCCTTTCTAATTCTTTTCACATGTTTGTTTTAATCTACGTAATTTAGGGGCAAAGAATTTAGGGTCTGACAGAGCAGGGTAGCATACGTACCCATTGCAACATTCATCTTTTTCAAAGTGTATTCCTTCCAGTCTTGTTACTTTTTAAATATCCTTTTTATAATGCCCTGTTGTTGTTTTTCATTATGCTGTAACCACATTCAATGGTTTACTGTTTTCAGCCCTGTTTTACCACCTATTAAACCCAGAAAGCCACCAAATTTTGATTGACGTGTGAAGTATAATTTTAGTACAATGCTGTGCACGTTCTCTGACAGAATGCCATGTTCAGTCAGCCACGCACTGGTATAATTGAAATTAGATACATTTATATTATATAGATAAGTATTTTAAAACTCTCTCGCACATGTAAGAAAGCAATGAGAAGTACGCACAGCATGACATAGAGCCGATGGCAAGGGATGGTCCTGTCCGTGCCAGACTGCGTGAGCACCGGGCCCGAGGCTTCATGAGGGCCGTCAGAGCAGGAACTCCAAGGGTGAACTCAGGCCGCTCAGAAGGTGGCACGGTGCTCCCCGTCCTGGAGGGGGGTAGGTAACAGCTGTGGTACTCACCTCAGCAGTGGGCGATGCCGTCCAACAGTGACAGTAATCGCGTTGCCTTGGGCTGATTTGTTTGGTCTTGTGTTGCATCTTGGAAGTCACTCCTCACCCCCCAAAAAAGGTGGAAAACTCATTTCTTTCAGTAAGTATGATGCAGATCATCAAATGGAAATGATGTGAGTATGCTGTTTTGATTTCATAATTGGTGAGATTAATTCCATTTTTTCCACTGGAAACAGTAAGGCCTGCAGTTTTTTAGTTGGGCCTGATAGGTAATCTGTTTCCTTTGTATTTTTCTTTAAAGATTTTATTTATTTATTTGGCAGGGAGAGACACAGTGAGAGAGGGAACACAGCAGGGGGAGTGGGAGAGGGAGAAGCAGGCCTCCCGTGGAGCCTCGATCCCAGGACCCCGGGATAAGCGTCATGGCAGACGCTTACCGGCTGGTTAAGGAGCCCTCCAGGCGCTCTCCTTCTTATTTTTAAATCAAATGTGATTCTCTTTAACCTCATGCTTTTGTTATTCTTCATCAGTTGCCCCTTTTATCAGCCATAGGCGTTACTTCTAATCTCTCTGATGCCCTGTAATATAATATATAGACTGTATTAGATATGTCTTTGGAGTTTTGGTGAAACTGTAACCCCTAAAGCCCTCTTAGGGCACAACCCCAAGATCAAGAGTCACACGCTTTCCCGACAGAGCCAGCCAGGTGTCCCAGCATTCTTTATTTTATTTTATTTATTTATTTTTAAAGATTTTATTTGTTTATTTATTTAGAGAAAGAGTTGTGTGCATGAGTTGGGGGAGGGGCAGAGGGAGAGGAAGAGAGAGAGGCTCAAGCAGACTCCCCGCTGAGCACGGATCCTGACATGGGGCTCGATTTCTGGACTCTCGAGATCATGACCTGAGCTGAAATTAAGAGTCAACCGACTGAGCCACCCAGGTGGCCTCCTGGCATTCCTTATTTTAAGAGTGCTCCCAAAAGGCCTATAAGATAAAAATGTTATAAATAAATAAGTAAGGAAAGTGCTCCCATAAACAACATTTTAAAACTTCATCCCACCTAAGATTTCTTTTCAGGGGGGGCATCCACTGATGTGTGCGTCTACTGCTAATTTCAGTAGTCTACATGTACATCGGTTTCTCTACCTCTAGAACTTCAGCTGTTCTCTTCTAACTTTTTAAAAAGAAAGCAGATTATGTGTGTGATCAGTTACTTTAGAAAGAAAGCAGATTATGTGTGTGATCAGTTACTTTAGAAAGAAAGAAAGAAAGAAAGCAGATTATGTGTGTGATCAGTTACTTTAGAAAGGTTTTATAGAAGTTGTCTCTACCTGCAGTATATAGGTCTCTACTTGTATTTGCTCAGTCGTTTTTCGCTTTGCTAACGTTCACAGTAGGAGTTCATTAGATATTTACTTGCTCACTCTACTCTCTCCCACCTTTTAAAAATTTCATGAACGGTATAGAAAGATGAATACAGGATGTGGAAGGGGGCATTCTGGAATGTCTTCTCCCTCTTTTTTCTGGCAAACTTAGATATCACCTTATCATGAAGTTGTTCCTGCCCTACACTATGTCCGTTGGACGTTCAGGTTTGCAGGCCACCAACACCTTGTCACCTCTCTCTTGTTCTTGCACTTCCGATACACTATCACTTACCTCTTTACATATTATTTTGTCTTTAAAATAATGAGTTTCTGACAGAATATCTAGTTTGTAAAACAGTCATGTAGTTGAAACAGAATAAAGTACGACCATAGTTCCACAACTCTAATGAGTCCATTTTTCCAGTTGTTGTCCAGTCTCTGGATACAGTTTTACCTTTTTTGTAAAAAATAGTGAAGATACAATTTATCTTCTGCTTTTTTTCATTCAACACTGATATAAATATTTTTCTGTTTTGCTCTGTAATTCTCATACCTTTCTAAAATTCCTTTTAAAACTATCTGGGCATGCTTGTGGGTTTTTGTTTTTTTCTTTGAAATCCATTGAGGATGTTAATTATTATAAATGACTATAGAGAACTATCCAAAATTAGGTCACCAGCAAACAAGAATCACTATTTAATTTCAGTTATTTTGTCAAAAGTTTTGATAAATAGGTGTTTAATTAATATGCCAGTTTTCTAAAAGGACTAGTGAAATAAAGCCGTATTAAATAAGTTCTTTATGAAATGTCTGCTTTTACTGCTTAAAACATTTCAAGGCTCTTTAGGTAAGTACCTAAAGTATTGTAAATTCCCTGGATTCTATGTAACAAGTTAGCCCTGCTCTTGTTCACAAGAGTATCTTGACTGACCTTGAGACTTTTTGTTTCTATGAAGTTCACACCTTTGCTGAGTGCCTATGATATATATCACTTAGGCAATAATAGGAGCTTTTCCTTTTCTTTACAGAGCCAGAAGTCTAGCTGAGAAAATAGGCACGCATGTATTTGTACCTATAGTAACATGAAAATGTTATATATTAAAAAAAGGTGTGAATGGAAAGTTATAGGACCACTGCAGAAAGAGCAGACACATTACAAATTTTATTTTCATTAAATTCTATGAGAATGTTATAAAGGAGAGGTCATCAGTTTTTTTTATGGGCGATGGTATTGGTAAGGACTAGTTAGCTTCCCTCCTTTCTCTTCCTCTCCCTCCCTCCTTCCATTCATTCCTGCCTTCCTCTTTCCCCTCTCTTCCTCTGCACTCTGGTCTCTTCCCTTCTTCCCTCCTTGTCTTCACTAGGCATTTCTTTTTTTTTTTTTTTTAAGTAATATCTACACCCAGTGTAGGGCTTGAACTTCCAACCCCAAGATGAAGAGTCTCATGTTCTACCGGCTGAGCCCGCCAGATTCCACTCAGAAGGCATTCCTTGATATACACTACTTGCCTGAGACAATCTTAAAAGTAGGCTGCACAGACCAACTCAAATTCCCATCTCTAAAATAATTAACCCATTCTTTAGCATTGTAAATATTGTGCCATGAAAGTAATTTATGAATTACTGAATATTTTGTGATATAGTTGATCCTCAATGATCAGTTCCTTAGATGTAATTTATGCCATAATAAAACATTGGTGTGTTTTTATGATTCTTGAAGGTTTATTTGTTTGTTATTAGGTACACACTGCCTGCAAAGATTTATACCATCCTGTGTGTCCCCTTGGCCAATGTAAAGTGTCCATCATACCTCCAATTGCACTGAATAGCACTGATTCTGATGGTATGTATCAGTAGTGTAAATATGTATATTCCTGGTATATTAAATGTTGATTTGTACATTTACTTTCCTAGAATAAATTGAACTGTAATCAGTTGTTCTGGTCAGCTTTTATTTAAGTCCATTCAAATTGCTGAACAGTACATTTAACTTTTAAAAGAACATTTTAGAATTAAAACTTACCATAGCTATTAATACACTGGTGAAATTACTACATATAAGACTTACAGATTTTACATTTCAGCAAACAAAATAAGATCATTATCCTATAACAAAACGCAATCCAAAAAGGTTAATTTTTTATGTGCTTTTTTTCCCCCTCTATAATTGAAATTGCCTATCAACATGGCTTTTATTGAAATGTTTTCCTATAATTTCCTTGGAGGAACTTACATTCCTATAAATTCCATCACTTTTTCGAGAATCTTACAACTTGGTTCTAAGTGCTAAAGAACTTGTCTTCCTTCTAAGAAAACCAAATTACAAAAGGCTTTCACCATATACTGTTATTAAAATTTTGCATAAAGTGCTTTATGATTTTCAAACTTTTTATGTAAATTATGCCAATACGTATTATAAATACAAGGATATAGGCTGCAAAAGATGTGATTTTTTAACCTGTGCTGTTAACAGCCCTGCCCCAATCCCCGATAAATCAAGGTTCTATTATTTATGATAAATTTTAAAGTATTTTCTAAAGCCTCATGAAGAAGAAGTTAAAACATTTTATAATACTGAATATGAACATGAGTTCTTTGACAAATGTGAATTTATGGACATCATTGGTGTTGTTAAGGTAGGTGGTGTATCTTCAATTATCTATGATTAATACTTTTACCATCTTTAGTAGGATTTTTCATTGTAGAGCATATTTTAAAAGATAAGTTCTATAGTCTTAGTATGTAAATAAAACCTATCTCCATTTGGGGGGCTAAATTATAATTTATTGTTCAAGTAATAAACAAGGTTCTTTGTGAATTTGTGTTCTTTTCTCTGAAGTTTTATCAATAGTTTAAAAGAGACAGCTGTTCATATTGACCCTGTACTGTGTTTTTTTACAGGTTTCTGTAGAGCGACCTTTTCATTCTGTGTTAGTCCTCTGTTGGTTTTTGTCAATTCTAAGAGTGGAGATAATCAGGGAGTAAAGTTCCTTCGTCGATTTAAACAGTTGCTAAATCCGGCTCAGGTGTTTGATTTAATGAACGGAGGTCCTCATTTAGGGTAATTAATTACTGATAAATCTCACTAGAATGAAAGAGTACTAAGCATGAAATGTGTTTGATTTTTCAGTTTGTGAAGACTGTCGATCCATCTAGACGTCTCTGTATCGATCGTCCCACCCTTTCTTTTTTTAAAGCTCTCATTCTAAATTTTAACGTCACCTTTTGATATTTCTGTAACTTCCTTATGTGCTGAAAATCCCAAAATTTGTTGAGAAAATGTTTTAGAATATATTCTGTATCAGACAATACTAACGGTTTGCTTAGCTCTAAGAAAAATCAACTTGGGTAAATACAGAAATACTCAGTAACTTTAGAAAGTGATCTGCATGGAAGGCTAGCATTGATTTTTATGTGATACAAATAATCAATTATTTAACCAAAGCATAGACACTACTGTGGGTTTCAAGGACAGCTCCTCAAGGATTTGAGACTCAATTCCCATATGAACGACAAAAAACACTGGTGTTGATTGTTCTTTTCAGCTTTCTGGAATGTCCTCTAACTTACAATCTGAAAAAAGTTAGACGATTTTCAGTGAGGGGAAGAATGCCTTGAGGTACTTTTAAGACATTTTTAGTGTGTATATATGACTTTGTTGAAGAGGTGATACTGGATTACCTGAACCCGGGTTCCTGCAACCTCTTCATGATCTACTTCTGCCAACTCCACTTCTCTCTTGGGTCCCATGGCCACCTTAAAGCATGAACACAGATGTAAAAATGGGGATTTTAGGTACCCCGAAGAGGCCCTGGGTTTTTAATTTAACGCTTTCCCGCCTTTTCTCTTGCTTGCCTCACTCTGTGCCTCTGTTCACTTTTGCTCTTTAGGTTTCTTTCTTCTTGTTTCTATTGCCTTCTTGCCAAGTCTCAGGCCCTCTGGTTCCATGGGTGTTGGTCTTCTTCATGCTTTCCCAACGCCCCCTATGGCTCCTCGTTCATGCCTTCCCCCTGTTTGGGTCCTGGCGTTTCCTCACCTGGCCTCTCCACTCACCTGTGTCTCTTGCACTGCTGGTCAGCTGTCTCTCCCTTTCTAGCACATCTGTTTCATAATCCTTCATAGTTCCTATATCTTGTATTCTTTACATTTACTTTTCCCACGCGTCCTTTATGATCCCAAGGCAGGCCCGTTGTGAAACTTCTTGAGATTGTCTCTATAACATATTTTATAGAGTTTCCACAGTACTCGAGGTGCACAAAGGTACATTCAGGAGGTGGTGGGATGTGTCCAAAGTTAAGACAAAGGAAGACAGAGGTAAAAAGACTAATCCAGACTAGGGGGTGAGGGGGAGAAAAAGCAAGGTGGGCGTCCGAAAAGTGGTATGTCGGCAAGGTTTGGTGGGTCCCTTCAGGAACTGGCTTGAATGTCAATAATATCAGTGCCCTAGATTCTCCACCCCTGGTTTGTAATATGCTGTTCTTAAGGAAATAACATATCCTTGTAATGGGAAGAAAAAAATCACTACTTTTACCGTGTTTTATCACTTACCTTTCATTCTCTTTCCTGGGTTCTGCTTCTTTGTTTTCTCATTTCTCACTCCCCTTCCCTCCTCATTTTATCTCCATTTCTACTTATAATCCCCTTTCCTCTTTATGATTAAGACATTTTCTTGAGTTAAAAATTGCACTTTAATTTTTATAGCATAATTAATATGTAAGTAAGGGTTCTTATATTTGATCTGAACATGCATACCAATTTATACAGAATAACAAAGAATTGGGGAAAGTGATTTTTATTTATTTATATTAAAATAAAATACTTTTTGCTTTCAGTTTAAGATTATTCCAAAAGTTCGACAACTTCCGAATTCTTGTTTGTGGAGGAGATGGAAGTGTGGGTTGGGTTTTGTCAGAAATTGATAAGCTCAACTTGAATAAACAGGCAAGTACTAAATCTTTTCATGACTCGTTGACATGAATGTGTACTAACCTGCTGACCAGCGGAGCACAGAAGTATCATAACTCCGGTTTCTCAGCTTCCTGAGGTCTCCCTGTTGTGCTCTCTTTCAGTGTCAGCTGGGCGTATTGCCTTTGGGTACAGGAAATGACCTTGCCCGGGTTCTAGGCTGGGGTGGTTCCTATGATGATGACACCCAACTTCCTCAGATACTAGAGAAGCTGGAACGAGCCAGTACCAAAATGCTAGACAGGTAAAAGTGAATTTTCTTTTAACACTAGACTGAAAATGGCGTACTGACATTTTTGGCAGTTGAAATTTTACCAACTGTAAGCCCAATGAGGACAGAGATTTCCTGGTCTTACTCACCCTTGTCACGCCTGAGGTCTAGACAGAGCCCAGCATAGGGGAGACACTCAGTAAATATATTTTTGGGGTGAATGAATGAATTGTAACAAAAACTGAGAAAAGTAGTCTGATGAACCCACTATTTTAAAAATAGAATGCTATGCTGGTAGAGCAATTACTTTTCATTGTTGTTCAGGTCAGAAAGCTTAAGCAGTTCATTTTGTGTGGGGGCTTTCGATGGCTATAATGGGTATGGCCCCATCGTCTTGTGGCTTCATTAAAGCTAAGGAAGGCATATAAACTTGAGATTTGTTAGAATATCTCTTCTTAATTATGCATATTAAGAATGAATTGAACCAACAAAGAACTAAATACTAAAAAAGATAATCCTTTCCCAGTGACTGGGAAATATTAAGAACGCCATCTCAAGGAATTATTACTGTGTTTATGGTATCCTTGATCACATCTCAACTTCTTTCTCTCTAAATGCCCCGTGTATAAAAAAAAAAAAAAAATCACAGTGTGTGTACCCTAAGTGTTACAGAGAAGGTGGGTAGGATTGGGGGTTATTTAGGAACAACAGGACTCAGTAAGTAGTAACCACCCCTCCCCACCATAAGTAGAAGACAAATGTCAAAATATCGTTATAAACTTAAGCTAGCATGAATCAAAACAACTTTGATAGGATTAGCCATCTGTGGAACTGTTCCCGAAAATAACAAAATCTCATCAGGGAGCTACCAATCTAAAATGTAATTACTCTAAAATGAACTATAACCTAATTAATTGTAACCTTGCCCGTCATAAGGTTATGCAATGGTTGGTTCTTTTGCTGACAGGATATTTAAAAAGAGCTGGGCTGTAGGGCATTTGTCTATGGTTATCCAAAACTATTCGTGAGAGGGATACCCCCATAGTTTGGGTACATAAAGTGGATTCGGTCTGCAGTCTTTAAAAGAACCTGGAGGTGATTTCCCAATTCTGTGCTTACCGAACCACACAAGGTGTTTTAAATGGCTTTTTCCTGCAAATTTAAACACCATTCTCGCTGCATCCCAGGAAATGCTGCTAGACATTTCCTCCACCCTGGGTGTGTGCTTTCCTTTGTATGTTAGAAAAATTAACTTCTCCAGGCGGCTGGCAGAGAAACAGTGACCCTGTGGTGAAAGTCTTTGATACACACCTGGACACAACAAAAGAAGAGAAACATCAAAAGAGGCTCAAGAACCTACGACCATTAGAAACATAAGAATATTTCGTTCCTGTGCTTTGTTTACTAATTTAAGAATACTGTTGGTAAAGAACAGGTGGAAAAAGTCACTGTTTAATATTATTCGAATTACAGAAGCTTTTTGCTTTTATCAATTGACTTGATCCTCAAAACAACACTGTCATGTGGCTAAGAACAACATTATTACGACTATTTTACAAAGATGAAAGTTGAGGAGTTTGTGGAAAGTTGTGGAGACAATGAGAAGAAGAATATTTTTTCATCTGCCTGGTACTTCTAGTTGCTTTACTTGATGAAGTATTATCTCCTTTAATCATCACTACACACCTAAGCTGACTAATATTGTAATCTCCATCTTACAGGTAAAACGGCTCAGGAGGTTTTCATATTATCAGTGTCACATAGCTAGTAAGTGGTAGAACTAACTGGCACCGTCAACTGGAATCCAGACTCTAGTTCTCAAGATCTTTCCTCAACATGGTGCGCCCTGTCCTCCTTAATGCACATATGCGCCAGAGAGGGCCCAACCTTCTGGCCTCTAACTCTGCTTAGCTGGTCCCAGTGTGCATCCTTTCTTGACTTGTTCCGCCACTTTCTCCTCTTTCTTCAGCTCCAGCCATTTTCTATCAAGGGAGGAGGTACAGCATGGAAGGTGCCGCAAACTTAAAATATCTGGGTGGATTTCTTTCCCATTTCTTTAACTGTCCTTTGACCAGAGGAGTCTTTCCAGCTAAGGAACTTGACTTTCAGGTTTCCCATTGTGGTTTTCCCTCTTTGGATATCTACAGAGTTTAATTATTTTATGTGTTTTCTGCACCAGGATATAAACTTCATTTGGAAAGTCTTAATCAGCCTTGTGTTTCCAGACCATGGAATGCTGTCTGTCATTTTGAGATGTTCAATAAATGTCTGTTGCATGGATGAATGGGTGAATGGCTTTTTGTGCCCAAATATATATTCCTTGATAGTATGTTCATGTCAAGAGTTGAAGAGTAGCTATAAGTATTCCGTTTATGCATCCTAACATACAACCTCTGTCTTTGGGGGAGATTTTCTGGGAATTTGGATTTTTATGCAAAGACTTATTAGTTTGAATGATACACTCGGCTCTTTTTAAATACTGATGGCAATCTTGGGATTTTCCCCTAGGTTCTATCACTGGCTTCAGCTGTGATATGCTTTTCTTAAAATTCATGTGTTACGGTACTGCTTTTATTATGCTTTGTGTCTTTGTAAAATCTTGATTTCACATCCTGTTACTGACAACAGTAATGTCCCTACCCAACTATTCTTCCCAAATTTTGAAATTATTTTGGATGAAGACTGGATTTATCTGGAATTGATTGCTTTTCTTTAACACTAAGTGATTCAGTGTTTGGTTTGAAATTAATATTTACAGCTAATTGAAATAAATTTGCTTCAAGTATTAAGAAATTAATTATTTCTGTTAATATTTTCTCCTCAACCCCATGCTTACTTTCTTAATTTAAGAAGGGATATTTAGTTAATCTTCATTTCATGTATGTATAAGCTGACTCGGCAAGACTGGTTGGTACACAGACAATGATTTATCTTTCAATGACACTATGCATTTGTTTAATCTGGGACATTGTTTTAGAACTTTGGGTTGTGATCCATTAGTAACCTGTGTAATCTAGTTAGTAAGTTGCAGTGAACATTATTTAAGAAGGGAAACAGAAAAGAATAGAAAAATCAGAATGCATTGCACTAGTAAAGAAGGAAAAGTTTTGTTATATATGTGCATTTCTTACTATGGGGCATGGCCTTTAAAAAGTTTGGAAGTCCCTAATCAGAGAATTGGTAAGATATGGACATCATAAAGTATGGCTGGCTTCAGCATTTTATGAGATTACCAAAATTCCATCTCTTTCCCAATATTTGGTTGTTTTAGATACAATAAACCATAGTTCATGCATATATGTGCACATGTATATACGTGAGGTGAGAACAAAGTCAGTTTATTAAATTTTAAAGGAATTTTAGACCAAAGATTTTTCTCCCTTCAGGTGGAGCATAATGACCTATGAACTCAAATTGCCACCAAAGGCTTCTCTACTTCCAGAACCTCCAGAAACATCGGAAGAATTTTATGTAAGCCTTTAACCTTTGCCTATTTATCATTTGGAAATAGGGGTGAATATCTTGAACAAATATGAACACTTTATAAGATATGGTAGCATGTTTACTTAATTTTATTTTTTATTATTTTGGGTATGGGCTCATTGACTACTTCTAGTCCTCTGCCCCAGAAGAAAGAATCCTTACGATCTAGGTTAGAGTCCTTCTACGACCACCATCCTGGAAGTGTGAACTTGGCCATATCACTCACTGTCACGGGCCTCCATTACTTTATCTGTAGAGCAAGGTCTCAATGTTGGGAGGAGTAAACAGTAATGAAAGTGTGTAAAGCACTAGGCATGCAAGTTCCCTTTCTGCACCCCTGATACTTCTCCCTGACTCTTCCATCTGCCTGCTTCCTTTTACCCACAGGGCTCCAGGGGAGGCCAGCTGCTGAAAGGTGCCTGTTAGCTTTTACTCATCTTCTGCTTGGGCCATCGGCACCTGTCTGACTAGTAGGTGTTAGCTCAGCAATTTCCAAACACACCAGTACTTGTGGGCAGAGTATTATATAATTTCTCTCTTCCTACTTTGCCTCTTCGTTGAGGGTTCACCATTACAAGTTTCCAGGTGAAGTCTATTGATCAAGATAAAACAGAGGAAGAAAGCTCACTTCATTCCATCCCTGCTACAGACCAGTGATAACTATAGTTTTTAGATGTTTTTAAAGATTGAGTGTTCTGATTAAACCTCCAAGCACTGGAGAATTGAAACAGATCCTAATTTTCAAAGGATTATTCTCTGACTGACAAACCGTTTGATCTGTAATAACTTATTTTTCCCTGTAGGAAAATTCATCTGTTTATTTGACAGTTGAAATCTTTGTTTTTAATTAAGAAAATTATGAACTTGTCAAAACTAAGGAAAGGAATGATAACTAGAAACAGGGCTATTCCTTAAAGAAGCTAGTCGTAATTTGACACATTTTTTTTGCTCTAAAAGTAGCAAAAACTGCTTCTAAAAAATATGGAAAATACAAATATATGTGAAAAAATGATCTTACTATAGCCCTGACACCCAAAGATAATTACTGTTAAAGATTGATATGTTTACTATTTTATTTTCAGCAGCACTTTTTTATAGTATTATTTTATCCAACTATAAATATAGTACTTGTTCTTATAGAAACCAGTCTTTTCTCTTAATAGTATTTTTGTAAATGTTATTAATTTTCTCCCCAAAAAGACAAAAGGGGGAATTCTCTTGTTCTATTTACTTTAGAGATGTCTATTTCCTAGCATGTAGTAATAAAGGTAAACAACTTACCTTTATTATGTACATATAGTTGCTAAATATTAGAAATAGTTGTAACTACATGGAAAAAAAATCTTTTAGTATAAAAAGGTTTTGAATGAAACCTAATTTAATTTGTTTTTTTTATTAAAATATTTCATAACAAAGGAATGGCATGCCTTAAGATTACGAGTTAAATGAGTGTTCTACATCATTCCGACTGGTTGCCATGTGACTTTTTTGCCTTTAAAACTGTAATAAAAGTAAGCTGAACCTTCCTTCTTAGGCTCAACCTAGTTTCCCAGCTTGTATTTTTTTAAGTATTTATTTTAAATTCCTTTATGCATGATTGTGAAATTATTATTTTTCCAGTTTTCCTTAAAAGGGCACAAATGTGGTCACACTTCCTAATTATCTTATTAACTTGCCATTCCACTGGCATCGTAGAGTTGCAGAGCTTAAAGAATTGTGACAGTTTTATTGATGAAATCCTTGTGGCCATAATTAAGTAATTCTATTTGCTGTTGTACTTTTTAAACATAGCAAAAACAAGGATTTCATGATTTCCTTCAGTAACAATGGTTCTGTTAATACTCAATATTAGAAAACATATTGCTTACATTTAACCTGAAATCCCCTTGCCATCATGTTCTTTTCGCCTCTACCCCTTTGCAAATGAATATGTGTACCCCCAGTGACATCATGCTCAGTTCACACCTGTCCTCACCTCAGATATCACTTGCTCCAAGAAGCCATCCCTCATCCCCCAAGCCCTAGTACCATCTCCTTCCTCACGAGTTCCATGGCCCCCTTCCATTATCACCTTCCGTTATCTTGGCGCTATTGTACTGTCAAGACCAGGCAATGTGTTATTCATTCACCATTGTGTTGTCATCTGGTGTTGGGACTGGCACAAAGTGGACAGTTAATAAAAAATTCTTATTGTTAATTTTTGTTCTAAATACCAAACGCTTTTGGAACTATGGGCATCTTGGCATCGAAGCCCTCTGGCCTTGTGTATTTCTGGGAAGCCAGATTCCCATTGCTTTCAGACTGGATTAAAAGCTTTTTTGATGCAAGAGTCATAGTTTTAGTCTCTTTTGTATGATACCCCAATCACACCAGCCTAGTGAGTCAATAGCTGCTTATTTATTAATGGTAAGGTCATCAAAAAGAAGGTGCGAGCTGCTGTATCTCCACCAACTCCCCGAAAATGGGAGAGAATGGCCTCAAATCTCTGGAAATGAAATTCTTCCTATTAATTTGTTGTTAAATTTACTCTTATCAAAGCTTCTCTCACCCCAGTTCTTTCTGTTTCCTAGCTGCTTGGTTACAGCATGCTAAGATGTTATAACTTTATTTGTTCATAAATTTAAGAATATTAAATGCCTGTTGGTATCTGGGAGTGGACATAAAGGCCTTGCCCTCCCACTTCAGTCATCTTAGAGTAGTGGTTCCTAAGCTGTGTGCAGGGGTCTCAGGACATCATGGTGAGCCCCAAGGGCTACCATGAGATATTTTTAAATTTCAAAGAAAATTTAATTGTAATACTCAGCTTGTATTGTACACCATACAGACTACTAGCTTGTCCGAATGTATTGGACACCATACAGACTACTAGCTTAAAGGACAGCTTAAACGTTAGGTTGCACTACATTCCTTTTGATGACATCATATTTTTGTGAAGCTTGGGTTTTCAGTAGTCACTGTGATAAAAAGCAAACACCACACAAAAATTAGTGTTGAATAAGAATTCAGGTTGTTATCATCCAATCCGATTTCAAGGCTTAAGATGTATACAGTGCTCACAGGCTCACAGCTAGTTATTTAAGAATGAAATAAGATACTGTTTTTTCTTTTAAATTATATTTATTATTTTTTCAAAGGGCTCTTAAGTTGTTAGGACATAAATATTTATTAAGTTGTTTGTACTTGACTACTGTTAGGTATTCCTTTTGGCCTAGGGGTATTGTGACAAAATCATTCAGACATTAAGGATGCGATGAGGCCAGAAAGTTGGAGAATCTCTGTTCTATTGGGAGGGACAGACAATAAATGATCAGTTATGTTTAAGTTCTCTCCAGGGTATAATGGTTGCACAGAAGAGAGGATTCTTTGTCTGGCAAGTTCAGTGACGTCTTTACAGAAGAGGTTGTACCTAAGCTGGGTTTTCAGCACAAAAAAAGAGAAGTCAGAATTAGCCAGTTGAGAAAGAGCATAGCGTAGAACCTGATAGTAAGGACCTTGGTACATTCGGGTCACTGCAGGTAATACTGTCATGTTAGAGCAGGTCGTGCAAGGGAAAAGCATCAAAAGACGTGATGGGAGAGAAGAAGGGTTTGGATCATGGAGAATCCTGGGAATTATGGAAGGTCTTGCTTGCTAGCTGAGGAGTTTTGACTTTATCTGAAATGTAAGGGGGGGGCGGAAATCCCCTCAGACATGTTAAGCAGAGATGTGTCATGATCTGATTTCTGTTTTAGAAAAAAAATCACTGTGTCATGAAGTGGAGAATGGTTTGAAAGGAGGAGGAGAGAGATAGGGATCCCAGCTACCAGGCTTTTATAATGATACACTTGAGAAATGACAAAATTTATATTTGACAAATACTTTAACCAAAGACCGAGACTTTCTGTGGGCGGGGTGGTGGAGGCAGTATGGTGGGATAAGCCACAGACCCGGCCCCCTAGTTTGTCTTTTCTTCATTAGCTGTGGGTCTTGGGCAAATCGCTCAACTCTCCTGAGCCTAACGCTCCTTGGCTGTAAAATAGGACAATTAATGGGATAAATACATGCAGAATGCTTAATCACAGTGCCTGATACACAATAAAAATAATTATTATTATTACCTTAACTTCCTGACTCTACGTGACTACATAATAGGTTAATAAATGACATCAATAATTTTATCTTTGGACAGAGAGGTTATTTCTTTTACCTCTGGAAGAGGTTGTATTCTTTGCCTTTGGTTATTTTTAAAGGAAAAAAACTTGAATTTTTACATGTACCTTCACATGGAATTAATGAGAGTTTAAAATATTTTTCCCTGGGGCGCCTGGGTGGCTCAGTCGTTAAGCGTCTGCCTTCGGCTCAGAGGTCGTGATCCCAGGGTCCTGGGAGCCAGCCCCGCATCGGGCTCCCTGCTCCGCGGGAAGCCTACTTCTCCCTCTCCCACTCCCCCTGCTTGTGTTCCCTCTCTCTCTGGGTCTCTCTCTGTCAAATAAATAAATAAAATCTTTAAAAAAAAAAAAGGTAAGATATTTTTCCCTACCTTCTTAGGCTTTATGACAATCTGTCCTGTAGGGAAAAGAAATAAAACTATCTTTTTGAAAAATATTTCCCTTCATTGCTTTTTAAAAAGGCATATTTTCATTTTTCTGATCTTGACTATAAAGATGTAGCTTTTAATGTTTAGACTAGAAAATGAGTGAAATGGATTTGCAAGTGAACACAATATTGTGTGAGGCTTTGAGGATCCTCCCCTCTTGTCTTTCTGCCTATGAAGAAAGTAAGATTGAAATTCAAAAGACTAACATACTGATTAGCCACTGGTGGAACTGGATGGAAATCGGGAATGAGATCTCTTTGGGAAGACGCTTGTCAGGAAGGCTTTTAAAGGAGGGGGGTTGGTCATTTGATCTTCACTTAAGTGTGAATAAACTGATGCTAATGGGTAAGAAGCAATGAAAGAACATCTGAGTAGGATAGAAGAGCACAGGAGGCAGCTTGAATAGAGCAGATGGTTTACACTGGAAATTTTTGAGCTGTAGGACATGGTATATATTTGAGGCAGACATTTGATGGAAGGCTCCGAATTGAGGCTGTTTAGATATTGTGCACATTTTTACTTATTAGGAAGATATATTCTTTCAACAGAATGTTAAATTTTGAGTCACACAGAAAAGGGGCATAGGACTCCCTGAGCATTTTGATTCCTTCCTTCTCTGAGAGAGATATTTATTTACATGGTTGTAGAACAGTGCATTCAGCATTCTAAAAAAACTTTTTATTGAATTATACATACAAAAAAGTGCACAGATCACAAATGTACAGTTGGTAAGTTTCCACAAGCAAAATGAACCCATGTCATCAATACCCAAATCACAAGGCAACATTACCAGCACCCCACGAGCCCCCTGATTACCCCTTCCATTCACCACCCCACCTCCCACCCCAAGAACCACTCTCTTGGCTTCTAAAAGCATAGATTATTTTTGTCTGTTTCTGTATTTATGAAATGAATCATTTTGTAAGCAACCCTTCTCTGAATCCTTTCATTCAACATGACGTCTGTGAGATTCATCCATCCTGTGGCACAGCTGTAAATCACAGCATTCTCATTGCCCCATAGTACCCCCTTGCACAGATAGGCTACAATCTGTTATCCATGCTGCTATTTTCTTTTAGAGATTTTATTTATTTATTTGACACAGAGAGAGAGAGAGAGAGCACAAGCAAGGGGAGCGGCAGGCAGAGGGAGAGGGAGAAGAAGGCTCCCTTGCTGAGCGGGGAGCCCAAGGCGGGGATCGATCCCAGAACCCCAGGATCATGACCTGAGCTGATGGCAGACGCTTAACCAACTGAGCCACTCAGGCACCTCTATCCATGCTACTATTGAATGAAAGCTGCTGTGGACGTTTTCTAGCACGTGTCTTTTGGTGAACGCACATCGCATTTCTTTGGGGGTATATACATATGTAGGAATGGGATCGCTGGGTCCTATGGTATATGCATATGCTCAGCTTTGATAGACACCCAGCAGTTTTCTGGAGTATGTGTATCAACTCCTGCTCTCCTACCGGTAGTGGCAGCGAATGAGAGTTCTGTTGCTCCACAACCTCACCAATGTTTGGCACTTCCCAGGCGTAGTTGCTGCTTCTGTTTTCATTGTAGCTCTTCTGACAGATACGGTGGAACCACATTGTGGTTTTAGTTTGTGTTTGCCTGATGGCTGATAAGTTGATCACCTGTCATTGGTGGTAGTCCATTGGTATATCTTCCTCTTTAAATTTCTAGTCTTCTGCTCATTTTTCATTAGGTCGTCTGGTGCTTTTTTGTGCCGACTTGCAGGGGTTCTTTATCTATTCAGCTATTCAACATTTTTTTAATTTAATGAATTTTATGGATTTTTTTAAAGACTGTAGATTAAGGAATTTCAGAAGCGAAAAGCTTTTTACAGAAAGGAAGTTTTATTTATTTCATATGATGACTTTTGTATATGTCATTATATTCATTGCCCTGTGTCACATGTGTCCTCAGCGGTCCCATTTTAGAAGGAGTAATAACTGAGCGGTATAAATGCCAGCAACAATAATACAGTATAGGGTTTTTTGTTGTTGTTGTTTTCAGATGACAATTTATGAGGACTCCGTCGCAGCTCATCTTACAAAAATCCTCAATTCTGATGAACATGCAGTGGTCATATCATCTGCCAAGTGAGTGATGGAGTTGAAGCCATGAAATAGTTATATGGTGAAAATGCTCGTTCCTACCACTTATGTCACTTTTTTGTGATTTTTTTCCTCCCCAAAAATCTGTGAAGTAGCTTACAGAATTAGATATACTAAACTTGCATTTTTTTTTAATCACTTTAGCATCTTATTTGCAGTGGAGTATATATTTAGAGGGGTTTTTTTTGGATGCTTAATCTGAAACATTTTTATCAGAATGGTTTGGTAAGTGTTTAGAATTTAATTAATCTAAGCTCCTATTTAAAGAAGCATTCATATGTTAACTAAATTGAATTTAAATAAAAAATTAAAAAAATAAAAAATAAAATAAAGAAGCATTTATGATTATTATAATATGAAAACACATTTCACTATAATTTATTATTTCCATAAACACTACTCTTTAGGAACTGTTGACATCAGGAAAGGGAAAATATTGAAGAGATTTTTCCAAATGACATTTATCAGCATGTTTAAATTACATAATTATATTTTAATTCAAAGTTATCAGATTTTAGTTAAATTGATTCTGTACACAGAGCCTGAGCTACTTGATTTTATTATCCCAAATGTTGCCTGCCTGGAATTTAGAATTTAGTTTTGAAGCATCCCATACTGATGTCCTGAGACCTAGAAAGGCAACTAGAGGAAAGGGTGAAACCCACTGACATTGTCAACTGATAAGCAAGGGTAAAAGTATGCTTTGGGATTCTGGCTTAGCAAGGAAATATTACTCTTATACAGAAAGAGGAGAAAAAGAAAAAGTAAAGAAAGGGAGTGAGGGATTAGGGAAGTGGTGGGGGCAAAATACACCAACTTTAGTATATTATATACTTACTTTGCAAAGAATCAAGGGAAGACAAGATAAATCATAAACAGATTTGCTTGTGACAAGAGTATAAATGTAGTGACAATTGCTTTTGATGCCATAAGCCCCAGGAATAGGAAACAGGGCTGAGCAATAGGAGGAGTTGAGCTTAAATCAGGGGCACACCCTGGTTCCCCAGAGAGGTAGGCTGCAGACACGGTGTTTGATGCGTAGTGCTGCTGCTGGTTTTCTGTTGCTGTTGTTCGGTTGGGCGTTTTCTGACGAATTGTATTGCCTTATGGTGAAATATGGAAATCTCCAGTTTGTCCCAGGCCTCAGCACTCCCTATTGTCTTCCTCATCTTGGGCCAAATTTATATACCAAAGTCATTCCTTAGATACTTCCCAAGTTACTTCTACAAGGAAAACATTTGCATTTGCCACCCTTGCCCTATGAATCAAATGCTTTTTTTATAGGACATTTAGAAGATCTTGCTAGAAAAGATGGAAAGCTGAATTGGAAACTTTTTTAAAGTATAACAAGTTATAAAAGAATTATTCTTTGATGCAGTTAAGTAAATATTTTATCTGGCCCCTTTCATAGTTTGGATGTTAGTGAATCCTTAATATTGGCCTTCATGTGTTTGATTACTGCCTTCTACACATTTTTACATATTTTTAATTGAGATATAATTGACTTTTAACATTGTCTTTTGTTAAATCTTATGTAGAATTCCAATATTTAAAAGATTAAAAATCTATTTTGTTGTCATTAATAAGTGGGACAGGATTAAATTATTAGTCATTTATGAGAAAAATTAAGCTATAATTATAGATGACAGTTATAATTTTATATTTGATGTTTCTAGTTTCTAGTTATTTCTGTATCTTATAATTTCCTTACTGCCATGTAACTGAAATAAAATACAGAAATAACTGGAAAGTGCATCAGATATGGTCTAAGATTTGCACAAAAAATGTGAATTCTAAAGTAGAAGCTAGTATATTATTTGTCTCTAATATCTCTAATGATTATTTGAGCATGTAAAAAATTGTATCCTATATTTCTAAATGAAATTTGAATCAAGTATTTGCAGAATCTTTGAAGTGTTTCTGGAAAACAGCTTGAAAACCACTGGAGTAAATCACAATGTTGCACCAAGTAGGAGTAAATCTGAGGTCCTAGCTGAGATTCAACCATTTGGTAGCTTTGTGGCCTGTGTCTGTTTTATCAAGTGTAAGGATGGAAAGCATGCCCGTCCTTTCTCCCTCATGGAACTGTTGAGAGAATTAAGTTGATTTTTGAAATAAACATAGAGCTTATAAACAAAGTGCTATATTAAATTATGGTATCATCATCTCATGTTTTAATCAATTACATTCAAATTTTTTGTTTGACCTTGGCCTGGCTCTTTTTTTTTTTAAAGATTTTATTTATTTATTTGACAGAGAGAGACAGTGAAAGAGGGAACACAAGCAGGGGGAGTGGGAGAGAGAGAAGCAGGCTTCCTGCTGAGCAGGGAGCCCAACGCGGGGCTCGATCCCAGGACCCTGGGATCATGACCTGAGCTGAAGGCAGACGCCTAACGGCTGAGCCACCCAGGTGCCCCAACCTTTGCCTGGCTCTTTGTCTAGGTTCTACTATTAGCTTTAGCTTTGGATTTCTCTCTGACGAGCTCATTTGCCTCGAAACAGATTCTATTCCACCCCTGGTCCCCTCTTGTCACTCATCTGTGCTCCCAGTCTGCCCAGCTGTCCTGTCTTTATAACCCCAGATTAAAATTTTAGGGGATTTGCCATAAAGAGGTTCAAGAGAAAAGAAAGGACAAAATGTAGTAAATTTGTACCAGTAATATGGTATTATTTTAAATTTAATTTTTGTTACTAACATTTTCAAACATACATAAAAGTAGAGAGACTGGTATAATGGTTTCCCACCATACCCATCACACGGTTTCATTATTTATCAAAATTTTGTCATCCACTCCCACTTTCTTTTGCTGTAGTATCTCTAAGCAAATTTTGTTCTTTCAGTGTATATACCTAGTAATCTTATTAAAAAGTTTAATAAAATTAGTAGCAATTCTCTAAGACTATCTATATTCCTCAATCCATGTTCCATTTTCCCTAATTATCTCAAAGTTTTTGTTAACAGTTGAGTTGTTCAAATCAAAATCCAAACAAGGTGCAGATACTGCATTTGGGTTATATATATTTTAAAGACTTGTAAAGTCTATAATAGCTCTCCCTGCTTAAAAAAAATTTTTTTTGTTATCGAGGCATGATATATACACAATAAAGTGCCCAAATCATAAGGGTACAACTTAGTGATGAGAAAGAAGAATACACATATACGTGTTCACATACATATTCTTGTAACCACCACCTAGATAACAAAGAATTCCCTTCCTTTGATAATGCCATTTACTTGTTAAATGATACACTATTAGGGCAGAATGTTTTAACCCTCTTGGTGCATGTTTATATTTGTTTTATAAATAGTAATTCCAAGTAGCTTAAGCTGTTTTAACTATTTTTAAAATGCTGAAAATACTGATGGAAAAGCTATATTCCATTAGCATAGCTAATATGTAGGTTAACTAATGTAGTTACTATGGGTTAAACCAACATAATGTCAGCATTTCTTTGATTTTGAAATTTTGTCAGTTTGGTATGGTAACATGAGTTACCTTCTGAGAATCAGAAGCATTAGTCAGCAATTACAGGTGTCACTTATTAATAAAAATACAAAGCAAAGTTATTAAATAAATGCAATTTGTTCGGTAGACAGAACTTAGAAAATGAGATCATCCGCCAGGAAAAATAAGATTGGAACTATTGTCATAGAACCGCAGAATTTCAGATTTGGTATCTATCTTAGAGATAATTTAGGCAACCCCCACCCCCATTGAATAGGTGAGGTAAGATACGTAGTTGTTAGAATGTTTCCTCAGAGCACAGAGATAACTAAGGATTTTTATAGATTATGCACTGATACTTGTAAATCATCTTTAATTTCTGATTGGAACATTATTATATCAGATGGAAAATGAATTTTTCAGATTCTTATAGGATGACCCCTGCCTGCCAATATGTGCATCCATTTGGGCACCATCGCCATATTTTTCTTAGTGTAGTGTTTGCCGCTTTTAAAAAATACATGGAAAATGAAGATAAATGAATGACAAATGAAGATACTGCTACTAGTGATAAAAAGTATAGATCTCATGAATACAATATAATTGCAGTGATAGTGGAAATCATCAAGCTTGCTAAATATGGACTTTTGTTAGCTTCAACTGAATATTTGGTGCAATATCAACTGCATATTTGTGCTCAACTTGGAAGGAAGAGAACAAAATTAAAGAAATAAAATGCTTGGAAATATCTTGTCAAAATTGTGAGTAACATGGATTTAAGATATAATTAGGGATTAAAATTTTTTATAGCCCTGTGGGAAAATCCACATTCCACTTTCATTTATTTGATTTTTGCACGTCTTTTCCAGATGTCTTTATGCATTAAAATAGAAAACTGTATCAGTAGAAGAATGTTTTCCATGTTATCATAGCAAATACGTCTTAAAATTGTTTTTCTCCAATTTGCAAGTTCCCAGGTGGTATGACTTTGAAATCATGCTATTTTTAGGTGTACATTTTATTTCAATTTTAAGAATTCTACATTCACTATTTTGGTATAATAAAAAGTTAGTTCATTTCTCCAGAGTGTAATATTTTATGTCTTCTGGAATATGAAACTTATTGGATCCTAAGGTAGACCATTTCTTCTGATCCTTCCCACAATTTACATGGCAAGTAATCTCTAACACAGAATCATACTCTATTCCTTCAGCCTCCATCTGCCTGAGCATCATGGCACCTTTGTTGCCCCTTTCATTCCTAGGCTGATGGACAAACAGGCTCTGTTCCTAGGACTTAGTAAAATACCAGCAAAAGTAGCTATGGTAATTTTATGGCATTTGCAGTTTCATGAATTTCACAGGAGAAAATTTTATCAACAAAATGTTGTAATAATAGCAAGGAAAACCTCTATTTTAGAGTTATATAAAGTGGGAGGACGGTCAGTGTCTCCTCTCCTCAGAGGTGGGACATCTTAGAGAAACTTTCAGTAAAGTTCATAGAAAAAATTTCATGAAGCTTGACTTAATATTTCAAGAAGGTCCATAAAAGTAGTATACATGAACAAAGAAGACAAAACTTGGAGTAAAGCACATGAATGCATCTCTAATAGTAAGCTAGAGCCTCTGGAGAAATGTGAATTTAAAAAGCCAACAAAGAGTTTGAAGGTTAGGAAA